CCTCCACTCTCTCCCCATGTTGTCTCCCCTGGGATGGCTGCCTGCCTGGGGATGATAACGTGTTACAGCAGTGGGGTGACACCGACCCTAGTGACACCACTGACTCAGTACCTTCTTTCTTTTTGCTTACCTGTCAAATAAAAGCTGATCTTTGTCAAGTAGGGTGACTACATTATCTTGTCAAAAAAAGAGGAATTTTATCAACCTCACCCCTGACACGGTCAAAGAAAATATATATTAGCATAAAAGTTGCCATTGGTCAGAGAGTCAATGTGGTGTAGTGGTTTAGGGCACTGGACTATGACTCAAGACCAGAGTTTGAATCCCCGCTCAGCCATGGAAACCCACTGGGTAACCTTGGGCAAGTCAAACTCGCTCACCCTCAAAAGGAAAAGCATCTCTGCTCTAAACAAATCTTGCCATGAAAACCCTATGATAAATTCACCTTACGATTGCCCTAAGTTGGAAATAACTTGAAGACAAACAAAAACAATTAGTCAGTTTATGGATGCAGTTTATGAGTAGATGAGTTTTGAAATAATTGCAATAATTTAAACGGAAATACATCCCCCACCCATACTGGAGAAGGTATTACTGCCTGCTCAGTCTGCTGATGGGCACCCCAAACTTCAAGGCCTCCAATATCTTTCGCATATCATTGTTTTGATCTTTTAACTGGACTTGGAGCAGAAGCTCTTCAAATAGATGACTGTCTATTTGAGTAGAGAACAATTAACACATTAGAGTTAATTTCAATTAAATAATGATTTTTGTATATCTGCATTGGTTTATTGCAGGTCTATTGTTCTGCTTGACAACTGTTGAAATTGGGCAGAGCTCTAAAAAGGATTTTCATTAACACATCCCAGGAACCTCAACCAACAAAGTCAATTGACATGCTGTCTGGTGAATATGATAATTCTAACTGGAAAAATAACATTTCCAAGCCCTGAAATTGCCCTGGGTTGGATTGAATGCGTTGGCATGACTTTTATTGGCTCTTTTATTGATTGGTTGGCTTTTATTCTCTTTGTGAAGTCATCTGGAAAGTGCAGTTTGTTTTACAAACGGGGCACACAAATATTTGAAATAACAACTGGGCATGGCTAGAAGCAGGTTAGTAGGCTGAGCCCTGGGTCATGTCCTGTATGTCTCTTCCCCCCCCCCTTTTAATTGACAATGTCCTTTGTAACACCACCTGCAACAAATCATAGGTGGCACCAAAAAGTAGACCACAGGAATCTGGATGAAAGGGAATACATCTATGGAAAATCACAACGAGCCCCTTATCTGCCACCCTCTGTTCCCCTTTTCCTCTGCCTGCCTCCCTCCTCTCCTTTATGTTCTCTGTTCCCACCAGAGCAATGCTGGGATATATTTCTCACACAGGATGTTTACAACAAAGGCTAACTCAGGGATCTTCACTGGAGCTCCCAGCTGTTCCCATCCAGCCCCCATGCTTGGAGTGAAATACAGTGGAAAACGCTGACCCGCTTTCACATTTTGGGCCTGATGGATGGATGGAGACAGGATGCCAAAACAGGGGGGGGGGAATGTTTTCAGTGGTGCAGCATGCAAAAATACTTATCACAGAACCATCAGAAAGCTTACCAAGTTGTAAGCAGAGCTCTTTTCCAGCTGAAATAACCCATAAAGGAGGATTTGGATAGTTATGGTCCTTTATACATTTCAGTCTACTATGACTTTCCATATTTTTTTGGCTTGCTACTTCCAGAGGCCCTAGTCAGCATAGCCAGATTTGAGGTATTGTGGAAATTATCATCTAAAAACATCAACAGGGGCCCAGTTGCTCACCCATGCTATTAAAAGATTCATGTTAGAGTTAAATAGCACCTCACATGCAACGAGCAGAGCCTAAAAAAGTTGCTTCTTTGAACCACAGCTTCCAGAATCCTCAGCCTAGTTGGGAGATTCTGGGAATTGTTGAAAGAAGTAACTCTTCCAAGTTCTGACAAGGAAAGAAAAATCAGGCAGATCACTTCACTGAAGAAGAAGACTGGGAAGTAGGGATTTTCAGCTAGTAAATGGTGCAACTTTTCTACTTATAATACTTCCTTTGCCCCACCATCATCTGGAGGGTTATAGATTCCCCAGTCCTGCATTGCACTATCACTTTTCGCATTTACGTGCTACAATAAGATTGATTGTATGCTTTCAAGTCATTTCCAACTTATGGCAACCCTAAAGCAAATATGTCATGGGGTTTTCTTGGCAAGATTTGTTCCGGGAGGTTGCCTATGTCTTCCTCTCAGACTGAGAGTGTGCAACTTGCTCAAGGTCACATAGTGGGTTTCCATGGCCAAGTGGGAATTCAAATCTTGATCTCCAGAATCAATGCTCAAACTACTACACACACTACACAAGAAGATGAAGTGCAGCAAAAGTCTGGAATCTCCTCCTTTGATTGCTCCCTTATGGTTGGGCAAGAGTTGTTTGCAAAGTTGTGCAACTGGCAAAAAAGAAGTACAAATTCCCCTCCCCAGTATATGAGCAATGAGGAAAGCTTTGCCTTTTTTATTTCAATTTGAGATACACTTCATAGCCCAAGTTTTGATCCTTACAATGTTGTACACATCCATCAAGAAAAGCACAGGACTGTTGACAAGGATTTGAACATCCTCGGAGGGACATATGTCCAGATATGCTTGGAATATCAAATTATTTAGCTGTTGTGGAACAAAATGATAGCAAAAGTCCCTGAGGTGTCAGACTGTGTTTCTGATGTCTCCTCAAGAACCCACTGGCAGTCTCCAATTCAATTGGCGGCAATGCTTGATTTCACAACTTGGAATCTGTGTCAGGAGTGGAAAACCTGTGGTCCTTGTGATGATGGTGGACTACAAACTCTGGCCACAGAAAGAGAGAAACAGAAGAACCAGCTCTTGAAGAAGGGTCTTCCCGAAACACATCAGCAGGATAAACACAAGCCTTTGTAACAACAGCACAGCTTTGTTACACAACAACACCAGAGTACATCTCTCATTTCCCAGGACTACAGCTTCCACCATCCATGGCTATTGTCCATACTGACTGGAGATGGTGGGAGTTGAGAATAGGTAGCTATTGCCATCCAGCTGTCAAGCTGCAGCTCTTATTGACTATACTGGTTAGGACTGATGGGAGTTTTAGTCTGGTAACCCCTGGAAGGCCACAGTTGCTCATGGTGATCTATATTCTAATAGCAGCATCTAGCATCTTGTTAGGAACCAAGAATCTCCCTGTGGTGGCACAAAAACATTTTGAATATGGTACACATGGAATCATCAAAACATGAAGACTGCATAGCCACAGCATGCCAGATGACAAGTTTATGGAACTGTGGTTCCCATGGCTAAGCCACATTGAAAAACTTCCTAAGGGAGCCAGACCACAGCTACACAGCACTTTATTTATGTATCAAAATACAAACACATGTTTTTTATAATCAAATGTCAAGCTAGCAATAAAAATGTTTCTTGTCTTTTATTGTGCATTTAATATTAACCCCTCCCTGATCATTTCAGACTATAACTTAAACTACAGAAACTACAATAACCATTATTGTACAGCACAAGTATTATTATGTTATTACTTATTATTACTTATTATTATGTTATTTACATTAGGGTCACCATGCATGAGTTAAGAGCAGGTTCTCTGTTGTCTCTGTTTCAGAATAATTGATAGTTGCAGATTAACATTCCAGAACATAGAAAAATCTAAGCACAGGTCATATCAAAGGCACCTACACTGCAAGACCATAGATTAGAACTGTTTGGTTGTTTGAGAAGAAAACATATATACATTCATACTCAGAGCTTGGGAAAGTTCCTTGTTTGGACTAGAACTCCCAGAATCCCTGAGCCAAAAGGGCCACCATCCATGCTGTCTGGATATTCTAGGACCTGAAGTACAAATAAGGAATCCTTTAATGCTCTGACATCCATGGTTTTTAAAATCATATGCTGCTCTTTCTACATTATATCTCTTAGGTTGCCAGGTCAGAAACATTCCAAGCTGTGAGATTTCAGGACCAAAACACAAGGCGTAGGGACATTCTCTGCAGGGTAGACTACTGTGATGTTACAGATGATGCATCAAGTATCAACCACAGTTACTCAGAACATTTTGTTGTTGTTAACTGGCTTTGTGTTGATCTCGTCCCAAGGCAACCCTATGGATGAGACTTCTTCAGGTCCCTCTGTCCTCTACTGCTCTGCCCAGCTCCTGCAAACTCATATTCTTTAATAAAGTCCATCCATCTAGCATGAGGCCTTCCTCTCTTTCTACTTCCCTCCACCTTTCCTAACATTATTGTCTTTTCCAATGATTCATGCCTTCTCATGATGTGTCCAAAGTACGACAGCCTAAGTCTTGTCATCTTGGCTTCTAGGGATATCTCTGGCTTGATCTGCTCCAGGACCCATTTGTTTGTCCTTTTGGCTGTCCATGGGACCCTCAGCACTCTTCTCCAGCACTACATTATCTCAAATGCATTGATTTTCCTCCTATCCTCTTTCCTGACTGTCCAGCTCTCATATCCATACATGGCAACAGAGAATACAATGGCTTGTATGATTCCAACTTTTGTGCTGAGTTGTATGTCTTTGCATTTTAGGATCTTTTCTAGTTCTTCCATAGCCACCCTCCCCATTCTTAATCTTCTTCTGATTTCCTGGCTGCAGTCCCCATTCTGATCAATATTTGATCCCAGATATGAGAACTCTTTTACTATTTCTATTTCCTCATTGTCTAGTTTGAATGTATGTAAGTTCTCTGTGGTCATTATTTTTGTTTTCTTTATGTTCAACAGTAAGCCTGCCTTTGCACTTTCTTCTTTGATTTTCCTTAGTATGCTCAGAGCATGCTATGCAATTAAAAAGCACAATGGCTTTAATCCTATTAGTAATACACATGTTCATTGTGTGTGCGTATGTTCTGGTTTGAATGGAGTGCAAGAAATTATTCTCTGGCCTCTTTGTTGTTGTTAACTGCCTTCAAACAAACTTAGACTTGAAGCAACCCTATGAATGAGAGTCCTCCAAGTCACCCAGTCTTCAACAGCCCTGCTCAGGTCTTGCAGACTCAGGTTTCCTTGACTGAGTCTATCCACCTGTAATGTGGTCTTCTTCTTTTTCCTACTGCCCTCTGTCTTACCAAGCATTATAATCTCTGCTCATGATATGGCCAAAGTATGACAGCCTCACTTTAGTGATCTTTGCTTCTAGGGAAGGCTCGGGACTGATTTGGTCTAGGACCCATTTATTTGTCCTTTTAGCAGTCTTCTTTAACTCCATCCAGACCACCTCCTCTATTAGGCAGCACCCCATGGGGCAGTTGCTATGGTGGAGGGGGAGGAATGCAAGCAGGCACTTGGATATTAGCTCTTGTCCTTGCTATAATCAAAGGGCTAGTCTACGCATAAGTGAATTATGCAAATTACTGCAGATTTTAGCACATTTGCAATGACACTTGTCTTCACTTTCCTGTGCAAATTCACATCTATTTGTCCTCCCTGTGCC